GAGAGGTGAGGGGTGAAGGTGGTCTTCGGAGGTGAAGGGCGCTGTGTGGGTACAAGGGAGAGTGTGGGGGAAGTGTGACACGTACCTGGTGGAGGTGGAGGTCGGCATTGGTGTTAATATCATCACTCGCTGGTAGTCAAGTTGTCTGGTTGCTTTCATTGCTGTAGTTGTAGGCTAGGCTGTAGAGTAGATAGGGCGCCTGGCGCCATTCACAAGAGAGAGCTACATTTGGGTAATGCTGTTGGTGTTGCCCTGTTGGGCATGGACATTGACTCACGATTCTTCTGTATCATTCTCAATTGGATGGTAACTCGGTTCCATTGTGCTATCTACTTTGGCTTGGACTACTTGGACTTCAGTGTGATTTTGCATGCTGGATTTCTGTGCTTCGTCCATATTCATGTTCCTTGCACATCCATATAGAGCAATACAATGAAGTAATGAGCCAATGTTCAAGCCCGGAGGCCACACCAACACAGTATCCAAAGTCACTCCTCTCTGTCTGGCGCCCAACGCCCAACCTTCTCTGCCCGACTATCCTACCTACAGCTGGTTCACGCAACAGGCTCACTTCGACTCTCGAAGACCAATGTACATGACTGCCAACTCCATAGCCGACCTCTCTTCATGCACCGGGTACGTATCTCGTCACCCCCAATACCCCACACTCGCCTCCTTCCCTGAAGACCACCAGATCGCCCGCTGCACCCCCTGGCGCCCAGCAGCCCGGCTATGGCTGCCTGTGCCCCGCTGCCCTGCAGCGCCCCTCCTCACCACTATGCGCCCCGTCAGTGCCTTGGGCAGCAGCGCAGCATCAAGCGAGAGTGCAGCAGCACTACCGCATTGCCAGCACTGGCCAGAATGCCTGGCCTGAGCTGCCTCACTTCTTTTATGGAAGTGCCAGCCTCCTGCATGCTGAGTGTGGCCTGGCTGGAAGCTTCCAGGAGCTTCCGGTTGGGCCTCAGACCCTGCGCCCAGGCCCAAGACTACAGTTGAGGGCCTGGGCACTTTTCGGTTGGGCACTGCCTGAGTCTAAAGACTTGGGCTGTTTGCTGCATCTGTGTGCAGGGCTCCCAGGCAGGTGTGTCGGCAGTAATGCTTTTTGCAAAGGCCGACGGTCTGCTTCCTAATGTATCGGCCCTGCTTTGTGTGTTTGTGCCCAGGCGCAACTGTCAAGGCCTGTGTTACATGCCCAGTTGGGCGATGTACATCTATCCGCAATGTGATGAAAAGGACTAAATGAACAATGGAGTGCAAGTAGAATCTCAACAAGCAGTGTACATCCTGATACATACAAAATGGTGTTTTATAGTGCAGTGGAAGATTTAGATACAAGTCCTGACCTGACCGGGACTGACCTCTTTCACGTAGTACAAGATAGCGAAGCAGAATGCTAGAATACTAATGACTAGCCCCAATCAATGTTTCAACGCAGACCGAACATACATTATGCTCCTCACAAGGTGTGAAGGGGCCTGGCGCTATACACAGGAAAGAGGCACCAGGTCCAAACATACACAGACGAAGAGGAGGGGATCAGACGAAGAGGAGGAAGGGTGTTGCATACTGCAACGTGCAGACCAGAACAAGAACCGACCTCTCAGTACAAAGTACAAGATAACACAGCGGAAGACTTAGATACCACTGATCCGAACAATCAACGTTGTCATGCAGCCCTAAACATACATCATCATCATCGTTACATGGTGTTAATGGGTCTGGCGCTTCACACAGGAAGACTGCGCCAGCCCATACCATACATAGACGAAGAGGAAGGGGATAGACAAAGAGGAGGGGGAAGATGGGAATGTCGTCAACACCAAGTCTTCGGCACAGGCCCAAATAGTCCCTCGTCGAAATGTCTGAACCCCAAATGTCAAGTCTGGATCCAATGTCGTCAAGTCTCAAGTCCGAGAAGTCAGGTGGCGAGAGGGTGAGAAGAGATGGTGGACTTAGAAGAGGAAGAAGAAGAGCTCTCTCTCTCTCTGTGTCCAGTACTAACCTGTGAAGTTGGCGCCTTGATGCAGGCACCACGAAGATGGAGCTGGAGCGATGGCGCCACTGGTAAGTACCACTGGCCTCCGCCAGTCTCTCTCCCACTCAACGATCTACCACCTACCAGCGCCCAGCGCTGAAGACTACTCTATGGCTATGGCGCCCAGCGCCGTAGACTACAGCTAGCGCTACTCCTGCCTAGCGCTGAAGACTACTGCAGCGCTCCTCCTGAGTGCTGCGGCCGAATCCTGAAGACTACCAGTGCCTACTGAAACTACCTACCCGTGAACTGTCTAGGACAGTCCTATGTACTACCACGGGTGCCTCCTGACTGCAGGCGAGCAGTCCAGGAGACTGCTCTTGCCAATGCCGATCAGAGTCAGGGGCTGCCGTTGCAGCTCCTACTCGAGCTTGTGAGGAACAGGCTATTTCTGGCCTGTTCCGCATCCCTGTTAACGTGCCTGAGTCTTAGGGGCAGGTCGAAACAATGAGGGCCTGAAAATGGCCCTCGGTTTCATGCTGGAAAAACTATGGGTCTGAAAGACCCAGAAATAGGCTGAAACAGAGTAGGGCCTGCAGGCCCTCGTTTTTCAGCTTTCAGGCTGAAACGAACGGGACCTGTAAGCCCTAAGTTTTAGGCTTTTAGGCTGAATGTCCGGAATGGGCCCTGCAGGGCCCGTGTGGCTACGCAGTTCGCCACACCCCCCCCTCCTTGAAGAACCGAGCTTACCTGCGAGGGCGAAGCTGTCTGTCTGAGGGAGGGACCACAGTCCGGGTGGGAGGGGCAGGTCGTGAAGCTTCCTGAGCTAACCTCCGCCTTTCATAATGCGCGTAGATCAGCGGTGCGGATGCTTTCAAGTCTGCGCCTGAAATCCACCGAGTGTCGTCGCGATCGCATGCTTTGAATGTGACTTTGTACTGCCGCAGCTTGCTGCCATACTTGCGATCGGTGATGACGCGGTCAACTTCCTGATGACCATCCATAGAAGGAGGGTCCTGCGATCGTCGGTCCGGAAAGTCGTCGCTCTTGGCTGGCGTGTATGTTGCCAGCTTCGAGGCGTGGAAGACCGGATGGACCATCAGATGCTCTGGAATGTTGATCACAAATGAAGGGCCATCGGGCTCATTGCCCGCGGCTGCTGTCACAGACCAAGGTCCAAACCACTTGGGAAGCAGTCTGCGTGAAACATCCTGTTCCAGTGCAAACTCTTCCGCGGAGACCCAAACCAGATCACCGGCGCGGATGGGACATGGTACGCGACGCCTGTTGGCTTGCTGCTGCATGCGGACCTGAGCCTGTTGCATGTTTGCGCGGGCTTGAGTCAACAATTCCCTGTACTTCCGGACGGAAGCGGGAGAGCAGGCAGCGTAAATGTCGGCTGGTCGAGGGAGGAGAAGGTCGGCGAAGATCCGGCCTTTCCGTCCACCGTGGTGCAACTCGAATGGAGTCACGCCGATCGCCGGATGCACCGAAGTGTTGTAGGCGAACTCGATGTCGGGGAGGCRGTCAACMCAATCTTTCTGGTCCGGACGGATGAGCGTACGAAGCATCATTTGAGCGGTCTGATGTGCCCGCTCCGTCTGCCCGTCTGTCTGAGGGTGTCGAGCTGAACTTGGTTTCATTGTTGTGTCGGACTCCTGCATGAAAGCTGTCCAAAACGCCGACATGAAACGAGTGTTGCGGTCGCTGACAATGTCTTCTGGTACACCGTGGCCACAAATCCAACCAGTGTGCAGGAGGCATGCCAGCTCGGGAGCCGTGGAGTAGTACTTGCAAGGGAGAAAACGCGCGTACTTACTCAATCGGTCCACAACCGTGAGGATGCCGTCGTGCCCGAGCCGGTCGCGAGGAAACGGACCGGTGACGTCCATGGCAATGGAGAGACCGGGTTCCCGTGAGATAGGCATCGGGTGTAACTCGCCGTAGGGATTGCGGTTGCGGGGCTTGCTACGTCGACAAACTTCGCAAGAGTCGCAATACCGAGTGACATCGGTAATGAGGTCGGGCCATCGGAACTGCTGTCGAAGTCGTGCAATAGTGCGGTTGACTCCAAAATGGCCGGCGAGTCGTGAATCATGATACTCGCCGAGGAGGCGAGTCCGAAGACGACGGTCGCGTGGGACACATAGTAAGTCCTTGCCTCTCGAGTGGAGGAGCAAGTACCCGTCGGCAATGCGATAGTGGCTGGCCGGCGGGTGATCCGAAGATAGCTGTGCATACAGCGTGGCGAAGTCCGGATCAGACTCATATGCCCAGATGAAGTGTCGCTGAAGCTCCTCGTCGAATGCGAAGGCATGATGTGTCATAGCGCAAAGATCAGGTCTTCGCGAGAGTGCATCTGCTGCGCGATTTGAGAGGCCGGGAAGATGTTTCGGTGTGAAGTCAAACTGGTTGATGAAGTACATCCATTGTCCGATCGTGCTGCTCACCGTATCCTGCGTCTTGTAGTAGGTCAATGGATTGCTGTCGGTGACCCATGTGAATCTACGACGCCCAAGGAGGAAGTGCCGCCATCGCTTGAGAGCCATGACGAA